AAAGTCACAATCAGAGGAACACATCAGAAATCATCCTGCTATAACGTCGATGGCCCAAGGCTATGAATGTGCTGTAATAAAAAACATGGCGACCGTGATGACCGATGTAGACAGATGTCAAAATGTGTATACAAGTACAGAAACAAAGGGAGATTACCAGCTTGTCAACAAAATGTGTGTATATATGTACAGAAACAAAGGGAGATACCCAGTATGTCAACAAAATGAATAAATATGTACAGAAACAAAGGGAAATTACCAGTCTGTCAACAAAATTTGTATATATGTACAGAAACAAAGGGAGATAATCAGCATGTCAACAAAATGTGTGTATATATGTACAGAAACAAAAGGAGATTACCAGCATGTCAAAAAAATGTGTAAATATGTACAGAAACAGAAGGAGATTACCAGTATGTCAACAAAATGTGTGTATATGTAGAGAAACAAAGGGATATTACCAGTATGTCAACAAAATGTGTATATATGTACAGAAACAAAATGTGTCAATAAAATATATATGTACAGAAACAAAGGGAGATTACCAGCTTGTCAACAAAATGTGTGTATGTACAGAAACTGTACCAGCTTGTCAACAAAATGTGTGTATATATGTACAGAAACAAAGGGAGATAAACAGTATGTGAACAAAATGAATAAATATGTACAGAAACAAAGGGAGATTACCAGTATATCAACAAAATGTGTGTATATGTACAGAAACAAAGGGAGATTACCAGCTTGTCAACAAAATGTGTGTATATATGTACAGAAACAAATGGAGATTACCAGTATGTCAACAAAATGTGTGTATATGTACAGAAACAAAGGGAGATAACCAGTATGTCAACAAAATGTGTGTATATATGTACAGAAACAAAGGGAGATAACCAGTATGTCAACAAAATGAATAAATATGTACAGAAACAAAGGGAGATTTCCAGTATATCAACAAAATGTGTGTATATGTACAGAAACAAAGGGAGATTACCAGTATATCAACAAAATGTGTGTATATGTACAGAAACTAAGGGAGATTACCAGCTTGTCAACAAAATGTGTGTATATATGTACAGAAACAAAGGGAGATAACCAGTATGTCAACAAAATGAATAAATATGTACAGAAACAAAGGGAGATTACCAGTATATCAAAAAAATGTGTGTATATGTACAGAAACAAAGGGAGATTACCATCATGTCAACAAAATGTGTATATATGTACAGAAACAAAGGGAGATAACCATCATGTCAACAAAATGTGTGTATATGTACAGAAACTAAGGGAGATAACCAGTATGTCAACAAAATGTGTATATATATGTACAGAAACAAATGTAGATTACCAGTATGTCAACAAAATGTATATATATATGTACAGAAACTAAGGGAGATTACCATCATGTCAACAAAATGTGTGTATATGTAGAGAAACAAATGGAGATTACCAGTATGTCAACAAAATGTGTGTATATGTACAGAAACAAATGGAGATAACCATCATGTCAACAAAATGTGTATATATATGTACAGAAACAAAGGGAGATAACCAGTATGTCAACAAAATGAATAAATATGTACAGAAACAAAGGGAGATTACCAGTATATCAACAAAATGTGTGTATATGTACAGAAACAAATGTAGATTACCAGTATATCAACAAAATGTGTGTATATGTACAGAAACAAAGGGAGATTACCAGTATATCAACAAAATGTGTGTATATGTACAGAAACAAAGGGAGATTACCATCATGTCAACAAAATGTGTATATATGTACAGAAACAAATGGAGATAACCATCATGTCAACAAAATGTGTGTATATGTACAGAAACTAAGGGAGATAACCAGTATGTCAACAAAATGTGTATATATATGTACAGAAACAAATGTAGATTACCAGTATGTCAACAAAATGTATATATATGTACAGAAACAAAGGGAGATTACCAGCTTGTCAACAAAATGTGTGTATATATGTACAGAAACAAATGGAGATTACCAGTATGTCAACAAACTGTGTGTATATGTACAGAAACAAATGAAGATAACCATCATGTCAACAAAATGTGTATATATATGTACAGAAACAAAGGGAGATAACCAGTATGTCAACAAAATGAATAAATATGTACAGAAACAAAGGGAGATTACCAGTATATCAACAAAATGTGTGTATATGTACAGAAACAAAGGGAGATTACCAGCTTGTCAACAAAATGTGTGTATATGTAGAGAAACAAATGGAGATTACCAGTATGTCAACAAAATGTGTGTATATGTACAGAAACAAATGAAGATAACCATCATGTCAACAAAATGTGTATATATATGTACAGAAACAAAGGGAGATAACCAGTATGTCAACAAAATGTGTGTATATGTACAGAAACAAAGGGAGATTACCAGCTTGTCAACAAAATGTGTGTATATGTACAGAAACAAATGGAGATTACCAGTATGTCAACAAAATGTGTGTATATGTACAGAAACAAAGGGAGGTTACCAGCATGTCAAGAAACTGTGTGTATATATGTACAGAAACAAAGGGAGATAACCAGTATGTCAACAAAATGAATAAATATGTACAGAAACAAAGGGAGATTACCAGTATATCAACAAAATGTGTGTATATGTACAGAAACAAAGGGAGATTACCAGTATATCAACAAAATGTGTGTATATGTACAGAAACAAAGGGAGATTACCATCATGTCAACAAAATGTGTATATATGTACAGAAACAAATGGAGATAACCATCATGTCAACAAAATGTGTGTATATGTACAGAAACTAAGGGAGATAACCAGTATGTCAACAAAATGTGTATATATATATGTACAGAAACAAATGTAGATTACCAGTATGTCAACAAAATGTATATATATGTACAGAAACAAAGGGAGATTACCAGCAGGTCAACAAAATGTGTGTATATATGTACAGAAACAAATGGAGATTACCATCATGTCAACAAAATGTGTGTATATATGTACAGAAACAAAGGGAGGTTACCGGTATGTCAACAAAATGTGTGTATATATGTACAGAGACAAATGGAGATTACCAGCAGGTCAACAAAATGTGTGTATATATGTACAGAAACAAATGGAGATTACCATCTTGTCAACAAACTATATATATGCACATGCTTTAGATAAGCGGTATATCATGTTTACCTTTCTGTGATCGTCATTAGATTAATGAACGCTATATAAGATATTAATCTAAATCAGAATTGACTATTCTAAACTATAGATAGCATGCAGTGAGTGTTAATGATTCGGCGATGAAACATATGTGTCTGATTGTTAAGAGGTATTTTAGTCCACTAGCACTAAAATACTACAGAGTCTTCCAGACGGTGAATGTTTCGTCTCCTGTCTTTCTGTAAACATCTTGCTCCAATTCTTTAAATGCTGGTTTGAGGTAAACTTTGCAAATACTGAATCAAAAGCAGAAAAAATGGTAGTATTCTTTACAATTTCAAAGCCGTTGGTTTGTTGAGACAGGATTTCAGTGTTTACCATTTTATTTTTTCACTAATCACTGCTTAATTTTTACCTATGAACAAATTTGAATCTGATTTCAGCACAGTGATAGTATTGGTACCATAAACAAAAAGTTGCAAGTGACACACAATAATAGACATATATGACAGGACTAAAAACTCACGAAAATGGTTTGTTTTAACATAGGCAAGATGCAAAAATGTGGACATTTGGTATTTGAGAAGAGTTAAGAACCAACGAAAATAACACGTCAGATTACCACTTTGTACATAAAAGGTTCATCTCACATACAAACGCTATATCGAGCTCAATGCATTGAAACAGGCGTGAAACCCGATAAAAGTTAGAATATCTCTGAATTAATAGGCAATATTGGATGTACAAGTACTGAAACAAATCATATGTAGTTGACTGGATGACTTGCCTGGATTCAGGGAATGTGTATTGCGCTCAATTATTAAGCACAAGGAACGGCACAAGTATCTTTCCACAGAATTTAAGTTGTTTTTAGAAGTTATTTTTAACAAATGGAAAGCAGCAAATAATCATAGGAAATTCAACGTCCTTAAATTAAAATTCCATGACATGTGTCGACTGCTGACAGAGTCGATACTGTACCATTGCTAACAGACAGTTTACTGGCTATTTGTCTTTTAGGTCTTTTTAAGTAATGCATTAGAACAAGAAGACGTAATGAACCATATATTTTTGTTGTTAAGATGCTGGAGGAAAACTCTGACAAAACATCAAATGCCGCACTTGTTCGTTGTTCTTAAATGTAATTTAAATGTGATAAGCTTATGGCAAACCTAGACACATTAAAGAACGGACTAGATGAACCCTAATTAAGTTTTGGAATTAGCCTAAAACTTTTCACGTGTTACCTAAATTAAGGTACCCATTAAAGAGGAAGACGTTGAAAAGATGGGGTATAGCTTGTTTGAGAACCTATTTGGAATCCACTAATAGAATATTGATGATGTGGCTATCTGGAACAATACCATGGGGCTAGCAATTGTTTCAATTTCAATTCAATTCAATTTCGATATCAAGTGATATAGTTTCATTATAAAGTATTGTTATTAAAGATGTGAAGGGGCGCAAGTAATATAGAATTGGTCTGCTGTGATGTATATTGTGAAATTTTACCACTTTCCAATTTTCGAACATGAAGTTAAATAAATGTTTCCTTTTGTGTAGTGACATGGTAACGTTAGCACTAATCATAATGATAACAGCTAGATGTATTGTGGCTTTAAATCTGATCAATAAAATCTACAAATAAAAACTATCATACTTTTATCACATAATTCACTTATTTTTGTCAATGTTTGTTTCAGGTTACATTTTCCGATCATAATCTTCTTCAGGAAGATGGTATCGTCCAAGCGAGCAAGATGGCGTGCCTTAGGATGTGGTTGTGTTGTCGATTTAATCTGAACATGGTTAAGGATGTAGATATAGGAGATTGAGAAATCTAGATACCATGACAGAAGTAATAGGACCGTTTTATGCTGTTAATACCAGCTTTAGTTCCAATCTGTCCATTGTTGGTCGTGCTGATGTCGACTATAGCATTCCGGAAGAATTTCAGTTTACCTTGCTGACTATGTATGCTGTAACGTCTCTAGTTGTTCTACTAGGAAACAGTATGGTTTGCTATACAGCTTTTAGAATCCATAGTTTCAGAACTGTTACTAATTTCTTCATCGTTAGTCTTGCAATAACGGATATCATTATGACTTTATCGTGTGTGCCGTTTTCTATCCTCAGCAATCTTTTTTTCCACTACTGGCCTTTCTGGAGCATCTTGTGCCCTATTGTCGTCTTCACACAGTTAGTTAGTGTCTTACTTCGATCGTTCATGCTTGTTGCGATGACATGTGACCGCTATCAGGTGGCCAGAAATCCTATGAAGCCACACCTTCTGACGAAATGTCGGGCCAGAATATTGGTGATGTTCATATGCACCTTGTCCTGTTTAATATCACTTCCTACTTTTATATATTCAAAAATAATCTACATGCCCTATGAACCTGGATCCCGAGGTCTTTGTGTGGAGCTATGGCCGGACGAAGCCATCAGGACTGTTTATGGAGTTTGTATCATGTTGCTACAGTATTTCCTTCCATTGATATTTATGGCGGTCACCTATATACACATTGGAATAATTGTATGGATAAAACGGACCCCGGGAGAGACCTATCCACTTAGGGAGGAGCGCCTCGCCATATCGAAAAAGAAGGTAAATACATTTGTGTCAGCAAGTTCATCAAATTTAAAACAGCTAGCAACATGTCTTTACGTCACTCGCTACTTAAAAATGATAATGTTTCGGGAAAATCTATATGTAAAATATTATAGCATTTAATCAAATTAACAAGTTTAAGAGCAATATATCGTTTGTCCTATTTCCATCTGATATAATTAGAAGAAACAGAAATACTGGTGTATACGAAGCAATGTATGATATCAATATGCTCTTGTCTTTTTTGTTTTCAGACAATCAAAATGATCTTCGTTGTCATCGTAGCTTACCTGTTGTCATGGCTACCACTCCACGTGATTACTATCCTTGGAGACTTGGACCAGTCTATTTTTGATGTAAATTACATGCATATGACGTGGCTAACAGCTCATTGGCTGGCATTTAGTAACTCAGGAGTCAATCCTGTGATTTATTTTTGGATGAATGCCAAGTTTCGCCAGAGTTCTGTTTTATGTTTTTATGCAGTATTCCGTCCAAAGCAACCCTCGTTTAAAAGGTCATCGTTCCGGAACAGTAGTAAAAGGGACTGCACGTCGAGGCGGGATACAGATATGAGTTTGATGCCATAATTATGTACTACTCGTCCGTAGAAGGAAGTACAAAAAAGATCACTGGATTTCATGATATGGCGATCAAGATCTCGCTTACAGATGAGCGTAACTATTTGAATTGTGTCTACAGAAAAAGCGCCTGATAATTTCGTTCCTGATAAACAAGAAAATTCTAACAACACATGATCAAATGTATCCAAAGACGCCATACTAGTTAAAACCTGTTTCAATATTACAATCTTATGGACTGTAGCTTGATACGGACTAGCCTCGTTTATATACATTTATAAATCCAACAGAATTTATGCAGGCAATCTCCACAGTTTGCCTTAATCCAAGTTCTAGTTTTAATAGTGTCAAATTAAGGATGGCGCCTGACTGACCTTTGCGCTACTGGTTGTTTAAAGCTTGGAGTTTATCAGTGTTAGTGAACACAATTGCTGCAACTAAAACCCACAAAATAATCAAAGCAAACACTTGGAATGCTTCAATCTGACGTGTCTCACATCTGTTAATAAAACTCTTATTTCTAACCAGTGTTTGACCAATACTTCCACTAATCACCTGTTATTTCTAATCAGTGTTTGACCAATATTTCCACTAACACCTGTTATTTCTAACCAGCGTTTGACCAATATTTCCAATAAACCCTCGTTATTTCTAACCAGCGTTTGACCAATATTTCCACTAACACCTGTTATTTCTAATCAGTGTTTGACCAATATTTCCAATAAACCCTCGTTATTTCTAACCAGCGTTTGACCAATATTTACACTGACCACTTTTATATTTTTCTAGTCAGCGTTTGATCAATATTTCCACTAACCACTTGTTATTTCCAATCAGTGTTTGACCAATATTTCCACTGACAACTTTTATATTTTTCTAACCAGCGTTTGATCAATATTTCCACTAACCACTTATTATTTCTAACCAGCGTTTGATCAATATTTCCAATAACCACTCGTTATTTCCAACAGCGTTTGATCAATATTTCCACTAACCACTTATTATTTCTAACCAGCGTTTGATCAATATTTCCAATAACCACTCGTTATTTCCAACAGCGTTCGATCAATATTTCCACTAACCACTTATTATTTCTAACCAGCGTTTGATCAATATTTCCAATAACCACTCGTTATTTCCAACAGTGTTTGACCAATATTTCCACTGACAACTTGTTATTGTTATTCAGCGTTACCTGTAAGTGTTATATATATTACCTGTAACTGTTCTATATGTTACCTGTAACTGATCTATATATTACCCGTAACTGTTCTATATGTTACCTGTAACTGTTCTTTATGTTTTCTGTAACTGTTCAATATGTTACCTGTAGCTGATCTATATGTTACCTGTAAATGTAGCAGTGTTAACGCATCTATATCGCGCGTTACAACTGACATAACTTGTTTCGCAATTGTTGTAAAATAAATAAAGTTTATATTTTATTTAAATGTTCTATATGTTTCCTGTGACTGTTCTTTATGTTTTCTGTAACTGTTCAATATGTTACCTGTAACTGTTCTATATGTTTCCTGTAACTGTTGTATATGTTACCTGTAAATGTTCTATATGTTTCCTGTGACTGTTCTATATGTTCCCTGTGACTGTTCATAACTGTTCTATATGTTACCTGTAACTGTTCATAACTGTTCTATATGTCACCTGTAACTATTTTACATGTTACCTGTAACTGTTCATAACTGTTCTATATGTTACCTGTAACTGTTCATAACTGTTCTATATGTCACCTGTAACTATTTTACATGTTACCTGTAACTGTTCTATATGTTTCCTGTGACTGTTCATAACTGTTCTATATGTTACCTGTAACTGTTCATAACTGTTCTATATGTTACCTGTAACTATTTTACATGTTACCTGTGACTGTCTAATCAGTGATTCAATTATTGACAAGTCATTTATAAGACAGTTAAAGGTAACCCAGGATTGTTTGATCTCTCTAGTGTCCTAACCTGGTTACATTAAGAACAATGAGGAATAAATTACTAGTAGTCAGTCCTTTTTCTAAAAATATGTTGAATTAAAACTTAACACATTACCAAAACATGAAATGTTAAATTCAATGTATTCCAGGAACAGAAAAGTGTGTAGTGTTCCACTTGATACAAAATGTTCCACGAAAATCATACACATGTATACAAACATATTCCTCACAAGGTGACAGCTTACATAATTTCCAAGGATATTTAATACAACACTTTCAGTGTTTTGGCGATGAAGGAGCTACCTCTTGATATCAATCAAAATACATTCTGGCTAATTAAACATGTACTTTTACGAATTCCATGCGTGGGTGGTGAAGGCGACATGTTCCATCATAGAATTAACCTGCTGTATAGCACACACTGATATAAGCCTACGGTAGAATCTTTTAATTTACATCCTGTTCTAAAGGTTAATCCCTCCTTTCCGGAATCTACTAAATTAGCTTATTATAGAAACACATGTTTAAGTTATATTGATTAAGAGTATCTGTCAGTGGAGAATTACATATATTTTACCACATTTTGACAACATCGTAACTTATTGTTTAGTTTGAAAATCAAGAAAATACCACCATGGCAACATAATCATAACTCAGACTCAAGTTCTATAAAGGTAGGGCAAAATAGGAACAAAATTATTATTTGTACAGAAACACAAGTGCTGCTTCATCGACGACCTTGATTATTCCAAGTAAGTAAGAAGAAGATAACTAGGAAGGCCAGCTAAAGGTAACAACACTTCCGGTATGTCATCGCTTATAGCACAGCTAAACGTAACAACACTTCCGGCATGTCATCACTTATAGCACAGCTAAAGGTAACAACACTTCCGGTATGTCATCACTTATATAGCACAACTAAAGGTAACAACACTTCCGGTGTGCCGCTTATAGCACAGCTAAAGGTAACAACACTTCTGGTATGTCATCACTTATAGCACAGCTATAGGTAACAACAATTCCGGCATTTCATCACTTATAGCACAGCTAAAGGTAACAACACTTCCGGCATGTCATCGCTTATAGCACAGCTAAAGGTAACAACACTTCCGGTATGTCATCGCTTATAGCACAGCTAAACGTAACAACACTTCCGGCATGTCATCACTTATAGCACAGCTAAAGGTAACAACACTTCCGGTATGTCATCACTTATATAGCACAACTAAAGGTAACAACACTTCCGGTGTGCCGTCACTTATAGCACAGCTAAAGGTAACAACACTTCTGGTATGTCATCACTTATAGCACAGCTATAGGTAACAACAATTCCGGCATGTCATCACTTATAGCACAGCTAAAGGTAACAACACTTCCGGCATGTCATCGCTTATAGCACAGCTAAAGGTAACAACACTTCCGGTATGTCATCACTTATATAGCACAGCAAAAGGTAACAACACTTCCGGCATGTCATCACTTATAGCACAGCTAAAGGTAACAACACTTCCGGTATGTCATCACTTATATAGCACAACTAAAGGTAACAACACTTCCGGTGTGCCGTCACTTATAGCACAGCTAAAGGTAATAACACTTCTGGTATGTCATCACTTATAGCACAGCTATAGGTAACAACACTTCCGGTATATCATCACTTATATAGCACAACTAAAGGTAACAACACTTCCGGTATGTCATCACTTATATAGCACAGCAAAAGGTAACAACACTTCCGGCATGTCATCACTTATAGCACAGCTATAGGTAACAACACTTCCGGTATGTTATCACTTATATAGCACAGCCAAAGGTAACAACACTTCCGGTATGTCATCACTTATATAGCACAACTAAAGGTAACAACACTTCCGGTGTGCCGTCACTTATAGCACAGCTAAAGGTAACAACACTTCTGGTATGTCATCACTTATAGCACAGCTATAGGTAACAACAATTCCGGCATTTCATCACTTATAGCACAGCTAAAGGTAACAACACTTCCGGCATGTCATCGCTTATAGCACAGCTAAAGGTAACAACACTTCCGGCATGTTATCACTTATAGCACAGCTAAAGGTAACAACACTTCCGGTATGTCATCACTTATAGCACAGATAGAGGTAACAACACTGCCGGTATGTCATCACTTATAGCACAGCTAGAGGTAACAACACTTCCGGTATGTCATCACTTATATAGCACAGCAAAAGGTAACAACACTTCCGGCATGTCATCACTTATAGCACAGCTAAATGTAACAACACTTCCGGTATGTCATCACTTATATAGCACAACTAAAGGTAACAACACTTCCGGTGTGCCGTCACTTATAGCACAGCTAAAGGTAACAACACTTCTGGTATGTCATCACTTATAGCACAGCTAAAGGTAACAACACTTCCGGCATGTCATCGCTTATAGCACAGCTAAAGGTAACAACACTTCCGGCATGTTATCACTTATAGCACAGCTAAAGGTAACAACACTTCCGGTATGTCATCACTTATAGCACAGATAGAGGTAACAACACTGCCGGTATGTCATCACTTATAGCACAGCTAGAGGTAACAACACTTCCGGTATGTCATCACTCATCACTTATAACACAACTAGAGGTAACAACACTTCCGGTATGTCATCACTTATAGCACAGCTAGAGGTAACAACACTTCCAGTATGTCATCACTTATAGCACAGCTAGAGGTAACAACACTTCCGTGTGATTGTTTTACTTTGTACTCTATCCTTTTCCAACATATATTTTGCGAAGTTATTCTTTAACTTTTGGTAATAATGATAATGTATTACCTTTAAAGACACATGTTTATGAGTTGTCAACCTTAATCTTAACTAAGTGAACGTGTGGCCAAGCTTACGAGCCTTTAAACACCATTCATCAATGTTGACAGCGTGCAATCCCCAAGTTTATCTCCTGTTCTATTCTGCGACACTATAAAAAATCAGCATGTGCCAAGAATGTTAATGCATACACAAATTTAATGAAAATTGGGCAATATATATATTATACATGATCAATGATTTAAGTTAGACCCATGAAAAA